ACGCAATGGGTGGTTGCAATTCTTGGCGAACAATATGGGCGACGGAACGGATGACCCAGACATGAGCAAGTTATTGGACTATCTTGAAACTGTGGATATCAAAAGAGTCCGAGAGCTCGCCGAAACCAAGGATCAATCAGATCGTGCTGCAAAGTCGGTGGCATCCAAACACATCCAAAAAGTGTTTGAAAAACGATTGTTCTTTCTCGGCCGCTACGATATTGCAAGAGGACCACCCATTCACCAGTCGGCAACTTGTGTTGTGGTCAAGGCAACGGATGCCAAGATGAGGGAGTACTTTGAAAAGAAGTATGAACCATATGAAGGAAGAGAAGTAGGCAAGAAATTGTTCCAGGAGATATTGGGCAAGATGGAGTTGATCCCACACGACAAGGAAAACATCAAGGGTCTCTTCCAACGAGCAGATGTCAAAAAAGATGAAAAAATTTCCAAAGAAGAGTTTGTGGACTTTTGCTTGGCCGAAATTGGTGGGACTGTGGTTCTAAAGTTTATGCGGAACAAGGACCAGTTTCGCCGAGAAGTGAACTGCCGCATAAACAATAAACTGGATTCGAAATATGTGGTTGGTAGTATCCGAAGCCATGATAAAGAGAGTGATGCCAATTTGGTCGAATCACTAAAGGACTCAATCCTACAAGAAGATGGTAACGGTACATCATCATTTCTAAAGAAGGAGGGTGCCAAGGCAGAGGATTACTGCAATGTGTTGGTGATGCCTTATGGAGAACGGAATTTGGACACAATCTTCCGAAGTGAGCGGCTCGATATTCTGACAATTCAAACACTGATGAAGGAGATTGGAAAAGCGGTGGCACACCTACACAAGCAAGGACTGATACATGGGGACTTGAAGATGTTGAACGTCATCCGCATAAATGGGCACATGGTGTTGATTGACATGGATGCTTCTGCAAAGATTGGTGAGGATTTCGCTGGTGAGAAGTATTCGTCCGGTGTCATTCCACCTGAAATGATTTACCAGCTGGCGAACTATAAAGAGAAGGAAAAATATGTTTCCTACTTCCAAGATCAAAACAAAGAAGAGCAACAAAAGCGTGCCCCAAAGTTCACCACCAGAAGCCCCAAGATCGGATATGCAGTCAAATCATTCTTGGGACATGATGAGACGACAACATTTGAGGATCCAGAGACTGGAAACACTGTCCCTAAAACAAAACGTATGGTGACCTCAAAAGGTAACTTACCGATGTTCGAGGTGGTTGGTGCGGATAGTTCGTTCGATGTCTGGTCTTTTGGCGTTCTCCTGTATACGTTGTGCAGCAAGCACACTTTGTTCCAAGTGAACACTGATGATGATATCTTTGATGGTAATTCGATGCGAGAGTTGTACCATTGGGGACAAGATGATTTGGAAGTTGAATCAATTCTTGAGAATAGCATTCAAGATGATGCTGCCAAAAACCTGCTGAAGAAAATTCTTAAACGCCATCCCAAGGATAGGCCTTCAATGAATGAAATTCTTTTAGATCCATTTTTCAGTGGCAAGACTACCGATGATGTGAAGGAAGTGGTAAAAGAAGAGTTTGGAAAGATGAAATCACTTGTACTTGAGAATCGGCAAATCATGCAACATGGATTCTCCAAGATCCACGAGTCACTAAACCGTCTAAAAAGCTATCAAGAAACGGCCAATGCTCTTTTGAAAGGGATCGTTCAAGGAAAGAAAGCACAGCCAAAGTTTCTTGTGATTCTTCCAGCAGCGGAACAAGACAATCATCAAGAGAAGCAATTCTCTAGATTTCTGTCAACACTGTCAAAGATTAAGAATGCCAGCAGCCTCACTACCAAGGCAAGGTTGTGCTTCATTTGTCCAATATCGCTACAACCAGTTGTGGGAACAGATGGAAAAGCGATTGGGTATGATATTAAATTGGCCAAGGATTGGATCAAGAAGTATGGACCTGCTATTCTGATTGGCCTGAAGATTGTCCAAGTAGGACTTGCAGTGGGCCGTGGATTCGGTCTCCCCCTTCCATCGTTGAGTGGGGCGGAGGAAGGGTTGTTGGAGACTTCGGATCTCTTTGCAGAGATTCAAGGTTTGTTGGTTGATGGAATGGGAGGCGATGCCGAAGAGGATGGCCTTGCGGATATGATGCTGGAAAAATTCGCAGACAGAGTCGATAGCGCAGCCTCGGCGGAAGGTCCAGTCACCATGAAAAAGAACCATTTAGCCAGCATTCAAAAGTCGTATGATGGCATTGGTTTGCTCATTGACGACGAGGAATTCAAACGCTGCGGTCTTGTGCAGGCCGTCAGCAGCGATGGGAAAGAATATGAATATGTACACCCCAATGTGAAGCCGTTGTTTGAAAAATTTGGGTCGAAATGCTTGGAGATGTCAATGGAAGAAAGGGAAACGGAAAATGCCATGTTGGCTGCAGAAGCTCGAGAGGATGGAGACAAAGATACAAAAAAGGGAAGCCCCAAAAATGGACACGGTGAAATGAGGAAGCACGAGACTGCGGTTCCAGTTCCGGTTCCAGTTCCGGTTCTGGTAGCACCTTCAGACAGTATTCCTCAAAGTGAGTTACAAGGGATACCACAGGGCTCTATCAACCATGTGGTTCACAAAGGCTGGTTGCGCATTCAAAGCCGTTGGCCTCCCTATCTTTGGAAGCAACGATATGTCGTGGTCTACAACAATTGCAGCATTACACAGTATCCCAATGCTGGTTCAACTTACCTTGATGCCAAATGGATAGATACGAATGATGGAACGATGGAGCTACGGTCTGGAGGGAAAGTCGTTGCAAAAGCCAAGCTATCGAAACGCTGTACTAGTAGTACCATTGCCGAGTGGTGTCAAGGGAATAACATGATCTTGAATTCCGATGAGCAATCGACCCCCGATTTGAAGAATCGCAAAGCAGCCGCCGCATCCTTTCGTGGCGATCACACTGGGAATGTCATCCAATCGAACAACAATAGTGACTGATAATTTGAATAATGTTTTGATTCAAGTTAGGAAGTTGTTTGTACTTTTATGCGGTGTACCGCGCGGTACCAGGTAAACGTACTGCCAACACCTGATGCTGAAACCTGAAAACGAAATGGTTCTGAATGATGCAGGTTGCACTGTAGCAGCCGATTACCACATACCTTTGAACTGCTGGTCAAGGATCCAAGTACGCGTCCTTTCTTTTGCATTTATTGGATTGTAACTTTGAAAAACTATATACTTCCGTGCAATATGATTGCCAAAAATACTGGTAGAGGTTGCGCCCCTGGTAGGATGTTTGGTGCAACGAACTCAAAAAGAAACCACAAACAATTGACTCATTCATTCACATCACTCAGTATGATCGTCGCCTAGTGGTGCTGCCTCTGCTTGATTGCTCAAGTTCCTTTTTTCGTTTCCTTTTTTGTGTCTTGGGCCGTTGTTTGTCCCGAGCTTTTGTGGGGCACCACAGCTCCTCCTGCGATGGACAAAGAAGGATTTCAATATTGGCGACAATCCAAAGTACCACTCCAAGAAATATTTTGTCGCCTCCATTGATATCGTAATCTGAAGCGGGAATAGTATTTGGAAGGGGAAAAAAAGGCTGCTTCGGCTGATTGGTGGGATGACGATGACATATTTGTATTCAAAAAGGAGCATATGGTGTTGATCGTTGTCATGAGGATGAGGATGATGATAATGTCGTTTGCTGGGTGTATGTGATGATGATCATCCATTCATTGAGTAAATATATATATTATACATCAGCATGGTGACGAATGGCATTTAGATGAATTCATCGCCTCCATTCATCGCCTCCATTCATCGCCTCCATTCATCTCCTCCCACTTTCAACTCGTGATTGCAATACTGACTCATTGGCTGAATGTTGCTGGAATCAATTCATATATATGAATATACGAATGGTATGAATATACGAGTGGAATCCCTACTTACTTCTGTCGCATTGCGGTTCGTGCTGCATCCACCCATCAAACTACCGTAGTACCGTAATGATGAAGAATATGGGATCGCTGGAGAGGAGTATCTTCAAAATCAGATGATTGATTGATTGATTGATTGGTGGATTGATTGATTGATTGATTTAGTTTATCCTCCTGGTACTGGTACTGCACCCTGTATATTGTTGATGAACTGCTTAGCTTTGCGTGCGTGGTTCATACTCGTATCTTCAATATTCCAAATGCTGCATGCAGTATTTGATTGCACGCGCGTGCCCGTCATCAAAGTCATTCTGGCACCTGACTGTACTGTAGGGTTTGCGTAGT